AATTGACTCCCGTATTTCAGACGAGACGCCGACTCTAACGGCGCTTTCACACACACACGCAATCTACACACACTGCAGTCAGTGGGCTGAGCCAAGCAGTCGTTCTCTCACTAACAAAGCAGCTTGCCCCCACTCTCATGCAGGTTATCAACCACGACTAGGATCCAACACCTAGCTTTAGTTATTTAGGGCGCCCTCAGTGCCCAGGTTACCAACCTGGCAAATCCCAAGGACGCGTCCGACCAAGGGTGGAGTTGCCAAACTCGGAGCGCATACGGCCCTTAGCCGGCGACAAAGCCTTTCGGCCCTGCTTTCTAACTAATAGTAACACAAATTTCCTGCTTTAACGCACGAGGACAGATCACCGCCACTTTTTTCCTAATAACTAAGACGGATCAAACACCGCCGCGGATGAAACACCGATTCTATTAATCCGTAACAAAAATCTGCTGCTTTAACGCACTGAGATTTTCTTACGGGGCGCTAAACATCAACTTGGAGTTCTTACAAAAGTCTCTTGCTTTAGTCGCTCAGAGTACGCTAAACATCAACTTGGAGCTCTTAAAAAAGTCTCTTGCTTTAACGCACTGAGACGGACGCTAGCCGCCTTTTTTTACTGAGTGAATTTACACTGGGATACGTTCAACTTAGCGAACAGATAATTTAGGCTTTAAACAATATGCACGGTTCGAAAATAAACAGGTCGTGCTTACCTTTTAATCATGTGAGCTAGCTCTCTGTTCGCCTCGTTTCACGATCTCAGCTCCGCCAATTCATCTCTGGGCCTAGAGTGAATCCCGAGGGTTTCGGCACCAAAACTGTTGAGAAATCAGTTTTACCCCGGTTCTTTTCATTCCTCGAGCGTCCAGAGATGGCACCGGACTCAGTAGTCATTTTCACAAAATCTTTATTCATCTTTTACTCATCTTCATTTATCTTCATTTAAGCATGCACTTCTAGAAGGGAAGAGAGGACGGTGTCCCTCTGCAAAAATCTTCACCCCTTTGTTAGTTACAGCCAGCTTTATAGAAGCGACCCCATCATAAAACCCCTTACGATGTGCTGGAAACTCTGTGTCTGTGTCTATGTGAGTGCTCGTGAGTGAGTGTGTGCGCATACCTGTGTGTATGTGTGTGCACATGAGTGAGTGTGCGTGTGGATGTGTGTGCGTGACCATTAAAACACTGTGGGTGTAGGTGACTCCCTAGAGGTCATAAAACCCCTCTCACTTCCAGACCACAGTTACAAATCTTGAGACCCCCACCCTAAGACATGGGCGAGGTCTACAATCTACTCCTACAATCAGCCTTTATTATAGTGAGGGCAGTGTCAGTGTCGCTACAACAGTTCTACATTATATTTTAACACATTTCTAAACTCTAAATCAGCTAAATATTCTACAGAACATATGTAGCAACCCTGCTGCCCGCCTTATTTAATCTATTCATGTATTTTAAATCATATCCATTCAAACAGAAATCTATTCCTTTATGGACATTGAACCAAGTTTCAGTGATGGCTATAACACTGAAGGGGCGAGAAAATTGTTGCAAGTAGTCCTTAATGAAATCAAAATTAGAATACATACTTCTGCTGTTAAAGTGAATTAATGAGAGCTTCCCGTCTAGGTTGATTTTTTTTTTTTTTCATATTGTTCCTGTGTGAAATAATTACAATTTTTAACAAAAGAAGAAAGAAAATTACTTTCAGAATCTATTTCTGGATCTATTATATTATGCTCCTTATATTCACAATCTAGATCAATTACTTTCTGTTGGAGAATTGATTTCAACATGTCTGTTACGCCCCACTTAAAAACGAAGTGTTGACTGGAGTGAGGGGTAACACAAAGTGAAAGAGAACACCTGAGCTACTGGAGAATAGATGTCATTAAACAAGATTTATTGCCCAAAACTACTACAATAAAAACAAACACAGGGAAGTTCTTTTCTTCAGGGTCTCCAAGGCCAAAACAACAAACAAAACACCCCCTTTAGCTAGAAATCAAACCAAGTACTCACTAACCAAAACAAAATACAATGGCTGAGCTCCCTGTCTAACCAAAAACAGGAGAAAACAGTTGAAACAAAAATGGCAGAGAACCCCTACCTGCTTCCACAATGATGAACTAATTAACACAATAAGGGCACACCTTTGCTTACAATAAAAGAAAGAAAACCAAAGTTCCACAGAGTTTAAGTTCTCACACACATACACACTAAGGCCCGCTGCCCAAAACACTACAGCTCACAGCTCTGGCAAAAATCGGGGAAGTGGCAGGAGTGTGGCAGTTTAGGATGGCAAACTATATGCTCTGGCTGATGAGCTAGAACACACCTCAGCTGCGGCTCATGAGGCAGACCTGCAACACAAGAAAAGGAGAAAAAAACCCCTCTTCTACAAAGGGAGAGTCACTAGAGGTCAGCGACCGTAACAGTGTCCATGTCATTTCTTCAGTCACCTTTTTCCCCCACTATATGTTAATAGACCTCTCTGCATTGAATCATTCTCTGGCTCTCTTCCACAGCATGTCTTTGTGCTGTTTCCTTCTCTAACTCCAACACGTCACGGCAGATGGCCGCCCCTCCCTGAGCCTGGTTCTAATGGAGGATTCTTCCTGTTAAAAGGGCATTTTTTCTTCCACCTGTTGCCAAATTGCTAGCTCAAAAGGGGAAAGTTTGATTAGATTTTTGACCCTTCAGAGGAAGCTCATTACCACCACATGTATCCATGACCTCAGTCTTTGGTCACTAGCCAAAACCACAGATGAGGGTAGTGACGTTGCTTGACCAATAAATCGACGGCTTCACTTTTACGTTCAACTCTCTCTTCATGACAACAGATCAGTGCAACGTTTGCATCACTGCACCTATGACCCCGTCTGTCAGTCTGAACATATTATACTGCTTCAGGTTCGACAGGTTATTCTAAGCTGCTGATCATATAAGCACTATAAAAGGTTTTTGAAGACTTGTTTCTCATACTTTTGCCATTAAAGGGCACACTAGAGGCGAGGAAATCTACAGTGAATTTAAAAGTTGCAGAATTTGACATGTGTTTCCAGGATATGGTTATCATGCAGGACATTGTCAAGTTAATCACAAATCCATGTCTTTCTATTGTTGCTGAAACTGTATCCACAAATACAGGGATGGCCAGCTCCAGGCCCAAGAGCTGGTTTCCTGCAGGTTTGTGACCTTGATCCAGCACAGCTGACTTAATTGGGAAAAATTACCCCATCGGCATTTCTAGAAGTTCTCTAGAGGCCTGGCAATGAACTAATCATCTGTACCAGGTGTATTGACCAAGGGTGTTATCTAAAACCTACAAGACACTGGCTCTTGTGTACAGATGGGTATTATTTAGGTTTTATCCGATACTGGTGCCAAACCGGTACATTTGAATCCGTGCCGGTACTTAAACAGTGCTCGAACCGGTGCTTAAAAAATAGAGGACACAAACTTTTTCCAAAAAACCTCTTATGTTTAGCTGTTGTTTGTAAAAAGATAACAATGTTAGCCTTTTCTGCAGCTACTGGGCATATATGGTATCACTCTTGGCTGGAAGCAGTGCTTAAAGAATGGAAAAAACACAAATTTTGTCCAAAAACCTCTCATGTTTAACTGTTTTCCACTTTTTCTTTGGTCATTTTGGCCTTTTTGGCCAGGGTGAAGGGAGTATCTGCCATCAAAAAAGAAGACAGCCGCATGTAAATACGATGATGTTTGCTAGTTCACCTTACATGCATTAATATAATAACGTGGTTAGCCTACTCAACGTAAATTATACACGAACAACATTAAGCTACTCACGCAGAGAAGAAAGGCTGCACTGCCATCATCATCCGTCATCATTTCTGCTACACTGGCAGGGCTAGGGGCCAGGACTCTACTCTTCGGGTTTTGCTAACTCCAGGTTCGATAACAGGCACTACACCCACAGTAGATGTGCAAGCTATCAAATACGGTGCATTTATTGGCTTTTAAAAAAACGCTATGTGTCGCCAGGTGTTTCACCAGATTTTGAGGTGTTACCTTCTTTGCACAGTATCACCTTAAAGCACTTGTTGCAGGCTGCTTAGTTTGCATCTTTTGCTGTGAAGTACAGCCACTTCGCCTTGGGTATTTTTAATCTGTAGCTCTGCTGGAAAAGAACGTACATACCTGGGCCCGCCTACTATCCTGGGAAACGTAAAATGATTGGCTAGAATCCAAAGTGTATGACATCTCAGGGAAAAAAAGCACCAAAATGTGTGCTGCTTTCTGCACACATTTTTGTTGATTTCTGGTCTGGTTACTACAGTTTATGTGGTACCGGATACCGGTAACCATCCCTATTCTTGAGGCCTGGAGGTGGTCACCCCTGTACTAAGATGTAAGGATGCTTTTTCTTTACCTTATGAAGTGGACATGGAAACTGCAAAGTGACAATAAACTGCAGTCTAGGGCAAATGTTTTTGTCACAGTGTGGATTCCCTTATGCTTTTTCATTGAGCTTATGTCCAGTGGTGAAGGATGACCCACACTGGTCACAGATGTGCTTTTTGACCCCACTGTGGAGAGGTCATGTATTTTAATGTACTTGGTGTGTGGAAGCCTCTCCCACATTCTTTGCAGTAGTTCATTTTGTCTCCAGTGTGGCTTCGTTTGTGGTTTAAGGTCCCGTTGATGATTGGAAGTTTTTCTACAAAGGTCACAGAGAAGCTTTCCCACCACCACAGTGACGACAGGGTTGAGAACTGGATCCATCTGTGTCGCTCTGATTCTAAACAAAGACAGTGTAAGTCAGGGAATTCCTTTAACGTTTTTATCCTGAATGTCGCCTGAAACAAAGAGCATCTCTGCCAACGTCCAATTACATTTTACTGTTTACATTATAACACTCAGTATAACTCCATAAGTTTACTGATCAGACTTGTTCCAAACAATCAGGTTACAATTACAAGATAAAACATGAATACATCCTCACAGTAACTGCACTTGTAGAGTTACTTTCTGGTGTGGGTCTTTTGGTGTTTTTTCAGGTGATGTGGAGATTTAAAGGTCTTCTGACACAGGTCACATTTATAAGGTCTCTCCTCAGTGTGGATAAACATGTGTTGTTGTAACTGTGCATCTGTTGCAAACAGTTTCCCACACTGATCACAGCGGGAAACATCATTTCCAGTGTGAAACCGTAGGTGAATATTTCGGTACTGTTTGTCGCTGAAACTTTTTCCACAAAAGTCGCAGCTGTACGCCTTAATTCCAGAGTGGGTAACTAGATGCTTCTGTAAGTCGCTATTTTGAGCAAACGTCTTGCCACACATCTCACAGCTGTGTGCTTTAACTCCACTGTGGATGATATGGTGTAATTTTAGGCATTTACGATGGGTAAAAGACTTTCCACACAAGTCACAGCTGTAAGGTTTAACTCCACTGTGGATGAGTTGGTGTGTTTTAAAGTTTTGAGCGTGGGTAAAAGACTTTCCACACAAGTCACAGTTGTACGCTTTAAATTCACTGTGGATGAGTCTGTGTATTTTTAATTCTCCAGCCCGGGTAAAAGACTTTCCACACAAGTCACAGGTGTGTGCTTTAACTCCACTGTGGATGAGTTGGTGTATTTTTAAGCTTCCAGCCTGGGTAAAAGACTTTCCACACAACTCACAGCTGTAAGGTTTAACTCCACTGTGGATGAGTTGGTGTTTTTTTATAAGTTCAGCTGGTAAAAGACTTTCCACACAAGTCACAGCTGTAAGGTTTAACTCCACTGTGGATGAGTTGTGTTGATTTTAGGCCTTAGCCAGGTGTAAAAGACTTTCCACACAAGTCACAGCTGTAATGATTAACTCCACTGTGGATGAGTTGGTGTTTTTTAGGCTTTGAGCCAAGGTAAAAGACTTTCCACACAAGTCACAGCTGTATGACTTAACTCCACTATGGATGAGTTGGTGTCTTTTTAAGCCTCCAGACCTGGTAAAATCCTTCCCACACTCATCACAGCTGTACGGTTTAACTCCACTGTGGATGAGTTGGTGAGTTTTTAAAGTTCCAGCCTCGGTAAAAGACTTTCCACACAACTCACAGCTGTACGCTTTAACTCCACTGTGGATGAGTTGGTGAGTTTTTAAACTTCCAGACTGGGTAAAAGACTTTCCACACAAATCACAGCTGTAAGGTTTAACTCCACTGTGGATGACTTGGTGTTTTTTTAAATTTCCAGACTGGGTAAAATCCTTCCCACACTCATCACAGCTGTAGGTTTTCTCTCCCTTTCTTCTGTGAGGTTTGTCGGCCTCCTGAGAGCGCTGACTTCTCGCTCCATGTTGGTCCTGCAGTGACAGAGATACAAACAGAGGCAGTGAGTGAAATGCAGTCGTGGACCAAACTGAAACTCCCTCCGTTGGTGGAATCAAACATGTCAACAAACACATTGTTGGTGTGTTACCATCACCTTCTGGTGACAGTATCACATTACAATGATGTGAGACACAATGAGAGTTGTAAAGAAAATTACATTATTGAAGAAATATTTATCAGTGGAGAAAATCTTTTACGCATAAGAAATTGCAAGTTCAACTGATGATATTGTTGTTTCAATGTGTGCTTATAAAATATGATCTTTGTATTTCCTTCTAACTTCTGTGGTTTTTGGTTGTGAATGTAGATTCTGTATATATGGAGGAACCCAGGATGCAAAAGATAAAGCTGATGTTAACAGGTTTTTCAATAAAAATAAGGTAAAATAAAATGAAATAAATAAAATAACCAGCTGTGCACACAGCTTCAAAAAGTGTAATTGTGATATTTTTCTCACCTTTTGTGTTGAAGTCATTGTTTCCTCTGTAGTGGCTGATCTGAGTCCAAATGGATGAAACTGTCCTTCTGCTGCTCCACCAGACTCCTGTTACTCAGCTGGGACACACACAAAAAATACAATATATAAAACAACACCCAGCACGCCCCTGCGGGCGGTTTATCCTTCAAGCTCGGGTCCTCTACCAGAG